CATATAAATAAATAGTCAGCACTTTTCGGAGATTCGTTGGTTGAGCCACCACTGCGGATCTCTGGAATACCAAGGTCAGCCTGGCCAAAGTCCGCTCAAGGTCTTCACCACCACAAGCAGTCGCAACTCTTGTGGATTTGAGGGAGATTTTCCACCATGAGACTTTCATACCAAGGTGGTGATAGGTCGTGGTATTGGTTTACTATTAGCTAGGCTTCCTGATGGAAACGCCGGACTCGCTCTCGGCTTGGGATGCCTTTCACGCTGTACATCGCAGTCCGACACCCAGGAACACCTCCCAAAGTGAACCGTTGGGAGGGACATACGAATATAAAATTAAATCACAAAGATCAACTAATACGAATACAGATGGCGAAATTTTTAAAAGAGGTTCGTAGTGAGCATGGGAACTGTCTTGCTAGAGACTCGTCTACACCAGGTCCTTTCGAAGAAGAACGATTTCTCTGGAAGAACATGGAAAAGTTGTACCGCTAGACATGAGACTCTCCTACTGGACCCTTGGGGTCATTGGTCACATTCTTATAGGAGGAGATTCTCCTTCTTTTACACCCCGTTTTGTCATTATTCTGTACTGGACCTGTTGATCGTCTGCTTGTGTGAGGATTCGGTTCAGCTGTATAATGGTGGCGAAGAGGACTCCCAAATTATTTTATCGTATAGCTGGCAGATAATGGAAAAACTGGCTGGGGATTGCATTCTCATGAGGTGGCTCGAAACAACTCTCTGTATTTCACAATTCGAAAAGCAAAAAAAAACTTCCACAACGATGCTGAGAGAAACGCAGAAAAGGAGGCTCTGTGGCGCAATGTGTAATGCAGAAGCCCCTGGAAAGGGAAGTCGTGGTTCCATCTGGCCAGCAGTCCACGTTTTGCAAATATCTCAGCATCGTTGCAATTGATTTCGTATAATCCCCTCCTGCGAACTTTACAGTAGGCAGTAAAAAAAGAGTAGAAAATAACTTCGCATTAGACCTCCACTGCCACTAAATTTTTCTTCAGAATAGAAGAACGTAGAAGTTTAATCCTTCCACAACACGGATATACAGTTATTAGCAAAGTCCTGCAAAACATCTTTTTATGAGGGCCTACAATAGGCTTAAAACCACCTTATGCAATGATGTGAAATTTTCGTGGAAACGCCGAAGTCATTGCTGGAGAAAGACGGCTATGCCCTTTGAATTTCGAGTTTTCATAGAAAGCACTACTCGCACCTGATATAATCTTTTTTCTTCGAAAGGGAAAAAATGTAAACCAGCGAAATACGTTGCGTATGGTTATCCTTGCTATCGGAGAGGTCTCCTTAACAGTTGCCCGATTTACTTGGGCGGTCCACTTTCACTGGTTGTGCAGAGTGCAGCATAATAGTCACTCGTTTCTCCTCGCACAATCGTCATCCGTAGTGGTACCATGGTGACATCCGTGAAGCCCATTACGTAATCCTAAAATCGTTGTCGTCTGTACGTGAAAGGTTTTGACGTTAGCTACGTACATGTCTACCCATTGTTAGGGTGGCCTTCCAAGAAGATTCGCTTGTAGTCCCGTTCACTGTACCTTCTGTAGGTCGACACATCTGTGTTTCGTTGTCGTTGTTCATTCTCCTGGATCCCGGGGATACGATGGGTCTCAAAGATCTGAGCTATACGTTCCCGCTAAACGTTGTTAGTGCGGTTAAGTTTCAGAAGGCATTATTCAAGCACTCTGTGGGTGGTGAGCAGATTTCTTGACGTAGTTGAAGTATCAGCCCACGTTTCTGCTGCATAACACAGCGCTGAGGTAAACTGTTGAATCGAGCTGTGGATAGACTTGTGGGTCCTTTGGTTGGTCAGTGGTTTCTTCGAGAAAGCCGAATGTCGTCCAAGTTTCTCTCCTTCTTCTCTCTAATTCTTTCTTCGTGGTGTTCTCTATGGTTATTGAACATCCAAGAAACATATATTAGGTGGTCTATGTAATCTAAGAATCCTCTTCACTTTGATCTGGTTACCTTTGCACAATAAGATTTTCATTGACGGGGTCTTCCTTTGTTTTATGTTTAGTCCGATTTTTTTCTTCGCTTCGTTGAGCTCATTGCTCATATCATCGTCTCTGCTTCCCTGATACTTCTTGAGAAGATGGCGATGTCGTCGACGAAACGATGACATGATAGGAATATTCCATCAACACGTATTCCTTTCTTACACCATTCGATTTGCTTCATTATCCGCTGCGGAACAGCACTAAACAGCTTCCGCAACGTTGTTTCGCTTCGTCGAATCCTTTTTCTTATGGGAATGGAGAGGATTCGATGAGACAGTTGTTCATTTGTGCTGCAGTTCCGATAACAGTCAGCTAGTGGTTGTATATAGGACAGGTCCAGTTCTTGGTCGGAGAACGCTGATAGCACTGCATACGTTTCGACGCTGCAAGCGCTTTCTCGTAGAAAGGTTAGGAAAGTGGACAGATGGCACTCCCGCTGACTTGCATGATCCATTACACGGTTTGTACGCCGTGTATAAAAAAGAATGCTGTTTGCTTAACTGGTTCTGTTTCATCCAGATTTTTTGGTTTTTGAGGGAGTGAAACCTTCGTGAGCAGCTTGTGGAATACACTCAAAAAGCATGTTGGACGCTACTTACCGAATTATTCTCACGTCACCCTTCTTGGGCAGCATTTTTGTACACGAGGTCCTCTACTGGTCTGGGGCTTTATCTTTCTGAAGGTAAGATCTCATGTGAGTTACTACAAATATATGTAATTTGTGGCCTCCATAAGAAAATCGTCGGTGGTATTATCGGGTACTGGAGCTGTATCTTTCTTCATAAATTCTAGCACAAGTCGAACTTCGGTGGAAAGAATCTCGGACAGTTTTTCACTAGCGGGAACTTTGGGGTCCGAGACTGGTTTGGGAAAGATCGGACTAGAAGACTAGAACTTTTCGTTGCCACTTCTTTACCACGGCGAGATGTAGTGATAGTGCCATCTTCATTATTTTTGAAAACGGCTTTAATTAAACTTTGGTAAAAATATTCAATATCTCTCTTGGTTATTAAAATAACACAAATGTTAAAAAGATTTATTTGGCTAATGTTTCAACGTCTTCGCATTCCTCAGAACCCGATTGACCCAAATCGATGGTAGACAGATGGTCGACCTCACGAAGTATATGTTCGTTGTCGCAGAATCTCAATCGACGATCCCTTCTTATTCTTCTTTTTTTTATATAGGGCAGAAAAATATTGGTTCGCTATGTACTTGCCAATATAATAACGACTGCTATAGAATGGGTTACCCCTACAAATGAAGATCATATTGAGTGACCGCAGTAGTTAAACATTCGTCCTGTATAAGAAGGCACCATCGATTGAGATTTTTCATTGGATCGGTGCTCCTTCGTTGGATTGGATTCAATGCGACAGCGAACATCGACACGGCGACAATGAGCACTTGTGGATCATCGATTCGAGTCAATCCGCCTTTGAACAAAAAGAATTTCCATCTTCATTTGTCGGAGCGGATAACATTGCATTATACTCGCACAGGTCCCGACAAGACTTCCTCAAAGTAGATCGTTTAGAGCTTTTTCCAATAACATTCCTTGATTATACTGCTGTAATTCCTCTTGCAGAGATCTGGCATTTTTTATCAGCTGTGTTAGGCATGTTGTAGTACGGTAAAGCTTCAGAATCCTTATCTTTTCGAGCCACTTTTTATTGGTAATGGAGACGCGGTCCAAATTTCATATTTGTGGATGTAAGGGCAGTTCGGCCCGATCGTTTCTCTGTTCTCTCTCTCTCTCTCTCTTCCCCCCAAGTGATTTCACATGGAAAAGACGGGCCGCGGACAGGGATCCTTACAAGACGGTTTTTATTCTCATTGCATTCGCCTAATCAGAATTCCACCATTCTGTATTCATTTTCGTTGACCGTTCTTAATCTGGCGTTTAAGTTTCAAAGGACGGCTTTATAAGACTTTTCGTTGCAGATTACTTTTCCCAACTGGTCGTAAAACGCGTCTAATCCGCTCTCTTCAGCTACACAGGTTTGTGAGCAACAGTTGATAACACCGATTTTCTTTCGACGCTCAACTTGTAGACCAAGAATAGCCAATCGCTATGATAGGATGAGGTGTTTAGATAGGAAATAGAAGGATATACGACAAAGCCAACATCTCCGATATTTCGCAAGGAAAATTTCCCTCCGCGATTGACAAAAGATCTGTCACCTAGTTGGCATACATAGGTTTTCTTGCTTTTCGTCTTTTGTAGAGCGGTTACATTGAATTTGATGCGACCACTAGCCTCAAGAACAGCGTAAAGGCCGAAATCTGGAGAAACTGTTCTAGTGATAGTCCAATATGTTTGCTGAATATACTCTACAAACTTCACAAAGACCATACAATTGAGCATTTCAAAAACCTTTGATGAAGCTTAACCGGTTCATGAAGCAGAATAAATAGACCGATTTTTAGAATGGGCTACGCACACATCGTACCCGGAAGCCAGTGTTCATCAAAATACCAATAAGGCCTTATTTCTACTAAAATAGTTGTGACTGAGAGGAGCTAGAGTATATCCAATTTGTCCTAGAGAACCGGTCGTTACTTTCCCAATTTTTATATTTATTGATATGTTGTCATGCTGGCATCATTCATTGCAACTAACCAGAAAGTAATTCCGAAAAAAATATTTACGATGTCACAAGTGTGCTGACAGCTGCAACCGCGTCATCTTGTTGTCCGATGACGGCATAACGAACATCTAGGAGATGTAATGGCGATGGCAGTACGTGATACATCATAGAGCTCATTGCAATGCATTCTACGGTGTCGAAATTTAAGGGTAGCAAAGAATGCTATGTAAAAACAGAAACACTAAGTTCCTATTGCTTTCTCATGATTTATTAGTCATATCTCGGTTTCACCAGGCAGCGGTATGGGCATGGTTGAACTACCGTTCCAAACGACTTCTTCATGGACGGCGGTTCTCTCGCATTAACGCATGACAGCTTAAGAGTTTGATGTTAACATTTGCAGGAAACCATCAAAAATTTTGTATACCTCAAATCTATTGAAAAGATTGGCAGTAAATAGGAAAAGCTCCATCCTCGCTAGTCCTTCTCCAAGGCATTGTCGTTTTCCGATTGAAAACGGTATGAGTTCTTCCACCTAAAAATCTGTGAGCATCAGCCACTTTTAATTCCGCTTTGTCTGTTTGATACCTTCTTCAATCTTCCATTTTCATCAATGAATCTGGTTGGATCGAAAGTATGTGGAGAGGGAAATAGCTAAACAACCTGCGTTAAAAATACGATTATGAAAGATCATTCTTCAGCGTCGCTTTATTCGTTTTCACGCGCTCAGCCTAAGTCTACTTTTGTGACTGCTCAGTTAATATTCGGAAATGCAATGCAGACTTAAACGAAAACTGTGGGTTCTGTTTATGCCATTCGAATGAGTAACATTACTTCAAAAATTTTAGCAGGACGATTGGATATTTTACTAGTGTTTGATCAAATATGTCTGTTAGACGAGTATCAGAAATCCTGTTGATACAGGTTTCAATATCACGTAGATGGAAAGGAGGTGCGGTTGGTGAATGATAGGCTCCACCGGGAAGAAATCTATAAAGTCTTCGCAGCTAATGTCAGGGTGGGTTTACTCCTTGCAATTACTGTGCTCACATCCATCACCAAGCTTTTCCACTTTTTGTTTTAAGCAAAAACAGTTTGAGGCTTGCTGCTAGGCCTTTCAATCTTACCAAGCGCCACTCGTAAGACCTAAGACGTGGTGATTCTAACACACTCGTCAACACCATGAGTCTGAGCACCTCTAGGTAAAGGCATACCTCATCGTCGTAAAGCACAGAACTGATCTGAGCGATAACTCCCGTATGCGCCGGAACATTCCATTTGCCCACTTGAACTGGAGATAGAGTCTCGTGAGGTAGATTCATTGGCAGTAAGTTGGCCACACGTTGGATTTCCTTCAAGAAAAAAAGGGAGTTGACGTTGAAATCTCATCAAAAGTATTACCAAGCTTGTGATCTTTTCATATAAAAGTTTGTTATGTATTGAAAACTACAGACGTTGATCACTGCACTTGTATATGGTAGGTTATTCCTATCCGACATCGTGACCAGGCGGCCAGAGCCGATTTCACGATCCATTTCTTCGTGCAATTTCTCCTATAATCATGAAAATTTTCCATGCATAGGTGGCTGCCTTGCATGAAATCGCTACAAAATTTCCACAGCAATGAGTTTAGGTGTTCTTTGCGTGCAGAACTACGATGTACAGTGAAGGCCCAGTTCCTACAAGGGTCCTCTAGGCTGAGAATAATTTCGATAACCACGTCCAGAGATCCACATTACAATGCAGTAATGCAAGGGATTACTGCGATCCTGGTAGCACTCTTGTCACATTGAAGAAATTCCTCTTGGTCTTTCTATAGGGTTGCTCCACGAGATTTCAAGGCCAGGCCGGGAGAAACCTGTGAATCTCAGAGCGGAGGTGTGCAATATATGAAATAAGGAACCGAATAGGAAACCAGCGCCATTTTTGATGGAACTTTGCTCACGGCCAACTGGACATCCTCATAAAAAGTGTACTTCGCTTAGGGCACATAAGTTGTTTCTTCCTGCACTAAGCTAGCTTTTCACAGCGCAAAGACTTATTTCAGCAGCACGATAGAAAAAATGGCTGCACAGGAACAAAAGGGCGAAAAAATGCCTATAGGAGGCAAAGTTTAGGTATTCATATGGAACAGAAGTCGTGTTGTATACAAAAAATTTTCATTTATGAGAATTGAGACGTCATTTTCACCAAGAATTTGCTCGAGAAAGGAAGTAGTGTTAAGTACTCCTTTAAAACGACTAACACAGATGGCAGTACAAATTCCTTTCACGGCACGCTTAAGGCAAACATGCAGTTAAATAGGTAGAAAAAAAGTGCTGGAAACAGGGGAATGAAGAATTATTCCGAAGAAGAAAACCTTCGCTTCACAGTTTAAAATTCCAAGCAGAAATTTCTGAAATCCGAGTTGTATGGAAAAAGTTGCAACTCGAGCACTTGGGTACTTTATAAATAATATCCTTCAAAAGAGGGAGCCGCGAAATCCGCAATTATTGCAGTTTCTGATAGTTCTCTAGCGTCTCCTCCAAAGTAAGCGGTTTCTGAGCAGAGGAGGACATTGCGCGCTATCAATTTGCAGAGAAAGTTGAACAGTAGGGATCTTTTTTCTCCTGCCCTATGCTTATTGAGTAAGCTCTACGGTCACCTCACGAAGATTATCCAATCACGAGTATTAAGGGCTTTCGACCAAGCGGCACTTTTTGTGACAGAGATTCTACTGATTGGTTCACATATAAATAAAGCTGAAGTCAACGAATTTTACCATACGTAACATCCGTACTTCCCATAATCATCGTCAAACACATAGAACGTCAATAAATGTCAAAACCGAAAGGGAGCTTTCCCAGCTTTCATAGAGCACGGAACTTTGCATTAAGGGCGGTTTCATCGCCTGCTATTCGATACCTCGTTGTTGCCCACAAACCACATAATGTTATGAAGAAACATTCTCGGGACCTACCGTACAATTTCTCAGTACACATGGTGCGTAGTGAAATCAATGCGTATCGTCGTGAATATGTGAATAAAGCATGTTTACTCATGTAATGTAGATCTTTTCGCTGCCTTCTTAACAACAGCCAAAGCACGGGTGTTTCGGCATTAGTTTTAATCGACTTCCAGGTTAAATGATTGCTGTTGCTAAGGAATATTATAACACTTACTTGAACATGGAGATTATTAAGCAAGTAAACCACACCCCATGAAAGTGTGCTAGAAGTGGTTTCCATACCAGCGATCCATAAATCCAAGCACATATTTTGCAGCTGTATATGGCTGAAGAACTTAAAATCACAAGGCAGCATTTTTTTCTAGGTAAGAAAGCTAACACGACGCTGATAGAAAATTTCTATTCGGCTGTTTCGACGTCTCCCTCTTCTTCTTCAAAGCCTACGGACGATTTGAGTCGACTGTCCACAGGCGTTTGCCCTAAATTTCAACTTCCTCGTACTACTATCAAAATAATCGGCTCTGAAGAGGACCTGGACGCAAAAGCTAGCTGAATCTATGTTCTATCACCGTCGTGTTAACTTAAGGAGCTAACAAAGTGCTGCTCAATCATGAAGAGGTAGAAAGAAAGTTTGTTTTCGAAAAATCGATCCACAATTTAAGAAGTCTTCCATAAGCACGGAGACCGACATAACTACGAATTATAGATATAACCATAAATCACAGAGACGGAGGTGATCCAAAAATGGTTTATTGTTTTGCTCACTCAAAAAAAGGACATAAAGAGAAAAGAATGAAGAGGTTAACTCACGGAAGAAGGTAGTGCCTGGTAAAAGTTTTCTGCAGGAAATTAAATTTACCTGAACGAGTCTTTGTCACCGTTTGCCTCACGACGTCTCTTCTCCTTTAAAAACGCTTCGACGTAGTCTTTGGAATCAATGGTGTCGTAATCGATATCCTTTTGGTGAGCGTCGATCTGGCGGTCGAAAAACGAATAGAAGGCTTCGCGGTAGAGAGGCATTCTAATAAATTTATCTAACATCACCGTAGTACCCGCTTTGCGTGATAAGTATAGGAAATAATTGGAACAAATAGTGGAGCAGATACGTATAACCTCGCTAATATCGTTAAGCTCTCTCTACTCTTTGTTCCACCATGAAAGTAAAATTCTATTTTAAAGTTGTTGAACTCTTTTTATTACGAAGCTTTCGCAAGCTGCGATTGTTTCCTAATTATAGCACTCATACAAACGCAAGGTGGCCGCTGATTTCGAAAGCAAGTTGTTCGTGTCTTGATGGCAGTACAAGTTAACAGACGCATGAGAATGGAAACGTTAACTTCTTACTTCTCCTATACGATTAGTCTGAGGAAACCAGTAAATGTGTCGTTGTGAATTTTATAGGAAAGTATATTAAGACAATTCGAGTCTAAGCCTTGCATCCAGATAGAGAATTGCAGCGAAAGTCAAAGAAATCGGTTGATTTGATTTGAGGCTGATTTTTCCAAGCTCAAGACAACGATTGAGCTATAGACTATAATCGAGAGCATTACCACATTGCGAAATCCACCTAAATGTCATGGATGTTCGAGGCTTTTTGCGGTAATACGGAATTGCAGGAGAAAACTTTGAAACGAGGAGCATTAAACACAAGTTAACAGTTATCGAGCTTTTGAATAGCCAGGTAATTTCTGGTCGTCACATAAGAATCTACCGTATCTCTGCCATTCATCTGGTACACATACAGTCAAACATTTAAAGAGGCAGTACCATGGCGTTTTGCAACACTTGATTTGTAGGCTTGCAACGGAAAAACTCATTGCGCTCGTTCTAACTACTTCTAAATAAAACCTAGCAAATAAGTAACAAAAGTTCTAGCAGTGATAGGAACTATTGAAAAGCTTCGATTTTTCAAAAAAGTTGTCAAATTGTTCTTTAATATGCGACATAATTCATTATCATACTTTAAAAAACGTTTTGGGTCAACAGTTTTAAATGGGTAATAAAGACTGTTTAGAACGCTGGCGAAAGCCAGTAACGTCCAACTGAAGCGGAACTGCTGGATCAAAAGCGTAACAGCAAGGTTTTTATGAGGTTGTCAAAAAACCATTTGTCAACATTATGGTCCCGCTTCTTCAAGAAGATTTAAGAGTGGGGTGAGACTAGTACTATGTCTCTTAAGCGGAAAAGTCCATATAGCAGATTTAGAAAACGGTGAGATTTCTCTGGCGTCTATTTAATCTCTTCGGCAATGAAAAGAATTACTTGGAGATTTTCTTCCTTCATAATCACATAGATATTTAGATAGCTAATCCTCTCGTGACGAACCACATACCATCAATTGTTCGCTTGAGTCGCTACGTTGTAGCTGTCAGCCATAGACGTGGTACATTTCACGTATGGGTTTGGGTGTGACAAGGAAATCCTAAGTATTTTCAAACGTACTCTTCCCTGGAGATCCGAAACAGTCTTGCCAAAATAACAATATGCAGTCACCAGTGATTTGCATCCTTTCAGCATGACGATTGGTCAAAGGGGCAAAGTAAAGGATCACAGCAATGTACTTACTTTGTTTAAAAACATTTAAAAAAACAAACTTGTTCCATATTCCTTTGAAGTAAGGCAGATTCTTGAGCCATGGGTATGCAAACAATACAAAAGCCAGAGGATTCGAGAACTCTTTCATTTGGCGAGACATTAGACTTTTAAGATGACGAAACTCTCCAAGTTTATCCTGTAATATTAGAAAGTTTGCGAAAATTTGAACTAATATATTGCAACAATAACGTTTGTCGCTTACTCCATCGAAACGATAGCCAAAGAGTAGCTGGTTGATCACTGATCCAACTCCAATGTCGAAGACATCCTTGAAATTTCCTCTGTTGAACAGTTACAAATAGTGCTCACGGTAATAACATATTGTGGCCACATGTCAACATGACTTAAAAATGACCTGAATTTCTACTTCTTTTCCTTTCATAGAGGATAAGGTATTGCTCATCGCCTCTACTTCAGCGAGAATCTGAAGATAAACCTTAGCGTCATAACAAATTACAATACGGCATACTCTCGAATGTTATAAAAGGAACACTTACTCGTTGTTCCATGATGTCCTTGCTAAGACCCAAATCTCTCAGCACATGGATAGCAAACCTTCTATGATCTCGCCACATTTGACCGACAGTTTCTACAACGCCGTACTCACCTCCTGTGAAGAGAAGTCTATAACCATTTTTCTTCTTTCAAATCCTAGATCGTTCATTGCCTACTTATCAATGTAAGGTGTTTCCATCAGCAAGTCTCTGGTGCTCAAGAAGTCAACATTTTTATAAGGAATACTGGCCAAGAGAGCACCTATGTCATAATTCGAGGTACTCTTAGTAGCAAGCTAGTCTCAGGGTGGAGGATCTCTGTCTAATCTAGAAGAGTTGCTGACTGCTGGGTAGCGACCAGAGAAAGCATAAACTACGTTATCTCAGAACCTCGGAAAATAACAAGTAGCACAGAAATGTACAATACAGTCCGATTATCGTGTTCTCCGGTTAACGATCTCAGATGGTGAAGCAGCCAATCAGAGGCGATCAAATACGGAGCGCAGAGGACGACACGGGAATTGGGTCAAAGCAGCATGGCCACGATACTCAAAGCCATAACTTGAAGACTATGTGCTGCCATGCGCAGGAACCGGAAAACAGCTTCCTCAACCTTCACACTCCTATTAGTCCCACCTGTCACATAAAATTTAAAAGAGTTGCCATAGAGGAGAGACGAAAAAATACAGATGCCTACTTTTTGATCACATGACTCGATGACCCAACATCACATTTAATATTGTGCAGATCGAAATAATTCCTGTACTCTATCTGTTTCTTCGGACGCATCGTCCACAAAGGCTTTTAAAATACTGCGTGGGGTGTCGTCTATTGTTTGAGGATTTTTTGATTCGTCAAGGATGTTCCTGAAGTCTGGTAGAGCACGTTTTTCTCGTAGTACTGTAGAAGCCGTGGTAAATCGTTTCCTCTTGGATTAAGAGAATTGGGCTGGTCCTAAACAAGTCTGGCACCAAGGTACGGACTCTCGACTCTAGTGGGATAAGATGGATGGTGGATCTTAAACAAGTTCGAGCCAGGGCTTGGTAGGCTGGCTCTTATTCCTGATGGACGGCACTACTACCACTACGCTACCAATATATAAAAAAATGATAGAACAAAGCTTTCTCATGCACCCAAATGTCACCTTCACAGAGAATCCTTTCGCCACGCTTAGCCACACTTCAATTCGAACCTACATTAAAAGAGTATTAGTATTAGTACTCTTAGTAAAAGAAACTTAAGTTACGGATCAAGAAAGATTAGTGGATATGAATACGGTCGTGAAATTTCTGATAGGAGATCGTAGTAAGCGTGAAAACCATCTTGTTGGACTCTCGCCTACAGGACATCTCTTGAGAAAAATCCACTTTTTCGGACGATCGCCGTTAGATATGAGAGCCCTCTACTAGATTCAGACTCTATCGATCGCATTCTTGTACAAAGACATCATTATTTACCATCGTCTCACCACCACAGACCTGTTATTCTGCACTACACCTGATCAACGCCTTCCCCGTAAAAAGATTCGGTTCAGTCATACATGAAAATTTTGTATGAATTCCTACTCTTTTCTTTTTCCAGGAAAAGAACGAGGCTTCTGGAGAGAATCATTCCATAACGAAGCTGGCAGATAAAGAAAGAAATGGGTGTAGGATACAATATGCATACGTGAGGGCTCAAAACATTGTACAGTACGCCTTAGTTTAATAAAAAAAAAAGTTTGTTTCGCATCTCCATCGTCATTAAGGATTAGTTTGAAAATATAAAGAAAAAAGCTCGACCCCACTACAACACAGCTCACATAATCCTCTGCAGAAGACCATTCCAGGGGGACCCACAGCATGAAAAAAACTCGTGAGAAAAACGTTGTACTGTTATATGCGAGTAAGTGTTCCGCTGACGGCCTTTGATGAAAACAGGATTGTCACAACTTCAGCCCAAGATAAGGGATTGATTTCTCATGAACTTCAATGGGTTTATGAAGCGGGATTCATAAACCAGTTTTGTCTAATGAGCTTAGACCATATCGTAGCTGGAAGCCAAAGCTCGTCAAAAAGCACCTCTACACCAGAACTTTAGCTGATTGTTTAGTAGCTGCAAAGTAACAATATGCAATTCTACTGACTGATCACTTAGGAATGGGTGTGTGAGCGACGTGGTCTGTTCAGACCTGTTTACCTCCTCCTAGCAGTGGATAGTGATGTCACTCGATTGCGACAGGAAGGACATGGGAAGCAAATTCCTGTCAAATCTTCATTTGGCTGACATCGTCATCGTCTCGACGATTATCAATCACAGACGGTGGTAAATAAAGGTGAATAGAGGGGAAAAGGAAAAATATCATAAAATCGCTTTGCAGAAGATGAACAATATCACGTGCATTGTACTGGCCTCGAATGTACGTCAAATTTATTGATAGGAAACACTTAAAATTTGTGATCTTTTAGGCTAAATTCATTTAATCCTGATTCACTTGGCCTTCCTTTTCTTTAGCTCATTTAGAAGATAATTGGAAGAAGATACTTACGAGTACGTTCAACATTTGTGCGCCCCAGCAAACTTTCCACTCTCATGGGAAAAACATGAACATGGTATACCACCACCAATGAAAAGGACCACACGAGAAAGAAGAGAGTGGAAAGTTTGCTGGGGAGCACAAATGTTGAACGTACTCGTAAGTATCTTCTTCCAATTATCTTCTAAATGAGCTAAAGAAAAGGAAGGCCAAGTGAATCAGGATTAAATGAATTTAGCCTAAAAGATCACAAATTTTAAGTGTTTCCTATCAATAAATTTGACGTACATTCGAGGCCAGTACAATGTACGTGATATTCCCACAGTCGATCGACCAATCACCCAATGGAAAACGTTTTAAGCAAAAACCAATTATTCCACTATTATATTCAAGTGTAATTTCTTCCCACTATTGATTGAAATGAGCGACTGATTCATTAAGCAGTTTTGCCTGTTTTGTTTTTTTCTACGGATCCTAGCAATTGACCAGCGTAGTACAGTACAGTGGTATGCTTCACTATCAAGCAAATTGTTACCGCTCCAGCATTCCCCCATTTCAATCAAGAATTTCATTCATTCTTGACTGGTTATTTAGCAGCAGAATCGTTTGCGTGGTCAGATGGATATCTAGTTTTCAATCGGTTTTCCCCAGATCCTGTACTCTAAGCCAAATCCATATGTGTTCTGGCGAATTTATAGGAGAAACGCAAGCGGAGCGGCGTTATCTTAGTGAGATTGATGAGTTTAATTAACCTTACTGTTTATCGTACGAAATCTAAAAAGCAAACCTCGAAAGGCCGTCGTAGCTTCTATGAAGCTAAATTTTCCCGAATACGCTTCTCCGTCTTTGACGAACGTTTCTTTCATTGTCTTGTAATCACTGATCACAACGAATGGGTAAGGTCCTGAAAAGCATTGGGCCATGATTCGAAAACGTTGTTTACTATTGTTTTCGTTGATCATCGGCTTCTAGTTCAGCATTTCTAAGCACCAGGCTCTACTATTCACGTTTCTGATCCAATTCTTTTTTTTAAGATTGAATCTCAATAATATTGAACCTCGTGATAATCGTTTGCAGTACAATAGCGCTAGCACCTATTGTAATTTCTAGCTTCGAATATCATCTGGAATAATACTCTTCCAGGTTGAGCCACTTGCCTTGATTTGATAAATTTTTGTTCAGATCTTTATCCAAACGTCTTGAATTTCGGCTGTTTTTATCGCATTCTTGTTATGAGACAAAAATAAACAATGGTTCACAGCTCAACTTCGATTTTATGAGTCAAAATAATTTCTCCGCATCACCTGACATCACACTTTGGGAAAATCTCGGATCTTCTTTCATTGGATTTTTTCCTCCTACTCATTCATCGTCTATGAAGGTCTTGGCAGTTGCGCAACGTTTTGCTTGAGGATTTTGATCAGTTTCATGAATGGTTTTCAATCATTGTTGAGTCGATTCTGCTTGAAATTCTGGGATAGTCGTGTCAGTCCACTCCCAAGTGCTCACTGCAGGCAATTATTAGGCTTTGTAGATCGAAGGCAACTTCCAAAAAAAGTTCGGAAAGGAATTCCCTACCTCATAGTGATAGAAGGAATAGACTAGCCTGGGGCAGTGTGCAAGCTCTGATACTGCACTACCAATGCTTCAGCCCCCCTTCAGAAATAATACGTAGGAAAAATAATGAAATAAATACGAATTTTATACAAAATAAACCACAATGGTGCTGAGATTCCGCAAAAAATGGAACCCGGGTCAAATCGAACCATGATTTCCCTTCTGGGGTACGTGTAATACACACCGTGCCGCGGGGCCCTTGCATTGCGTTTTCCTCAGCTAGTTTTCTATCTACCAGTGAAATCAGGAAAAAACTATCAAAGTGATTGATCTGGGGGCTCATATCGGCACGGAACCCAGTTAAGCTGGGGCTGCAATTGAAATTACAAAGTTTACTTTTGCTGATTTATTGCTGATGGCACTGATAAATAGAAAACTAGCTGAGAGAAACGCAGAGCAAGCGCATCCGTGACGCAGTGTGCGGTGCGCGAGCCCCGGAAGGGAAATCGTGATTCGATTTGGCCCGGGTTCCAAGTTTTGCAAATAGCATCGTTGTGATTGATTTTGTATAATACCTTACCGTGGAAATTGTAATAGGCAGTAAATGAAAAAGTAGACATTTCGAATTTTATATTGAGAGCACTCTTTATAGTGTTCTTCTATTTAGACAGATTACAGTTGCACCTTCATCACACCTACTGCAGAATGTTTACGTCTCGCGTATATTATGCAGACGTTCATTGATTGTACGCGGTGTTTGTCTAATACAAATAAACACTTAGATACGCAAGCCTAGGATACACTCTATAGCTGCAACGAAAAGTCCCGTGCGGAAAATCGAAGATGGGCATTATTTGCCGAGCTAACTTATCAATTGGCTCCATGAATTGATTCAACGCACTATATTCCGCTGAGCTAAGACATTTGTTGTACACCGCCATTTCTAACACGCAACGACATCATCACATCTTTGAATATTAAAGAAAAAACCCATTAAAATGGATGACATTCAAAAAATAAATGATAAACAAACAAGTAAAAAATAGCCTGTCCAGACGCAGGTTCGCTCCAGGCTCATTACCCACCAAAGCCCTCATCCCTCCAGGGTGGGGAAATCTATACCAGACTCTCCTCATCAAAATAGATGATATTTAAAAAAATAAACGATCACTCCTCATCCACATGGGAACGCTCTACCACGCATATCCCAAAATCCTTAGAAGAATCAACTCCACCAGCTTTCAACGACATTCCTGACGAAGAATGAAAAGTCCTCTAGCAGCGACCAATGCCACTAGTCAGAAGCTCAAAAGCAATCATGGGTGATGGTTGCGAAGAAACGATTCGAATGCAAGAAGTTTTGGGAACCACATATTGACACAAATATATAATTGTAAGAAAAAAGAACAAAAATTAATAAAATAAACTCGAATGTTATGTTGGACTTGAAAAAGGTATACCTATCCAGAATGTATAAATAGGGCCAAATTGTTTGCGCCACATTTCGAACGCACTGTAGCCTGGCTCGTGCCAAAGGAAAACGTGAAGGTTACCGATGAATGGCAGAGGAGTTGGGCCTAGAAGGAATTTCTCTTTCAAAACAATACCTGGGAATGTTAATAACCTTCTTCTTATCGGAAAACTTTCTTTTCGGATTTCTTCCATACTTTGGATATTCAGCTAAAAGTAGTAAAATTGTTGCAATAAAACATCACTCTTAAACGAAAGGAAATATACAAAAGTCTTTTGTTAATATGTGTTTTGAAAAAGCCAATGTCAGTGGATTCACTATCTATCAAGGTGTGAAGTTTTTTACAATGATCACAACACCACCTGCCTGGTGGTAGATGTCTTCGCTTCCAGTAAAAATCATAGATGGTGTATAATATCGCCAGCAGTATTAGCAGTTCAACCAACATTCTTGGGTACGAAGCCGCTCTCTGCAACTGGTTAAGTTGTTGTTCTCCTTTTGTTTTTGCTTTGAACACACCATTATTTGAATACTAGAGTACTACTTGTTTGGAAAATGAATGTTGGAGAAAAACCTTCTGTGGCTTTAGATTAAGGAGAACACAATTTGTTCTCAGGTATGTTGTTATCCGATCAAAGCAGTCACAAGAGATTATTCCCAAGATGTATTATAAAGCAATGGCTCGAGAAGGATTTCAAAACAAAAGCTTTGGCTTGTTTGGGTGGCTATTCTATATAGCCTTCGAAAGAGAAAATTGCTAGGTTGCAAGGTCATGAATATGTAGTGCGACGAGAGCGATAGGCAAAGCGGAGCCGAATAAACAAGGTCATGTGGTGTTTGCCGAGCGATGGCAACCATTATTTTTAGTAGTGAGAGCGTAAACTAGGAGTAAACGCTGCTAAACGAATCATGAACTCATAGTTGTTGTCGCGCTAAAAACCACATGATGAGTGGAATGAACAGAGAAGGAACAACACAGCAACCACACTCGATGTACTGAAAAACTCGAAGTAGGAAAAAATTTTTCATGGAATGTTGAAGTGCTCTCGACGGAATATCTCCTCTATAGTCATTGATGTGTACGACCTCTCTACAGTAAGCACACTGTTAGATGTATTACCTAGTTCAGATATTATCAAATATCAACTCGAACTCGTACCGTGATTTTTTAGCTGGCATTATGCGTGTGAGAATAAGGTGCGGCTACACATCGCACTGAGGGCGCTATTGAGGTTGAACGAGCTGTGCTACAAAACTTCGTTTTATCCAGCATACTTCCCAACCTCTCGGGTGTGACTACCACCACAATTCAAGCATCTCGATAAGTTTCTATGCGAGAACGCTTCAAAACCCAAGCCAAGCGAGGCCAAACTGCATTCAACTAGCTCACCTCTAAAAGTCTAAATTTTCATGCAAGTCGTCTAAACAAACGTGTTTTTTGCTAGCAGTAGAAAATTCTTACCATTTCTATTTCTATCAGTAAAGTTCATTCTGAGCTGTGATATATCTACTTTGAAAATGTAGGCTGGAATGAAACAAAATCTCCATAGAACTAATACATCGACCCATAAAATGCAGCCGGGCATCCAGAGCTCGCTTTGATCTAAAAGGACTCCAGAACCTTTTCTTGATTGTGTGAGACCCTAAGAAGTCGTTTACATGGTGAAAAAGCCAAGTAAAATACGTGATAAAACGTGTTAAGATAGGTCATAGTTTTTTGCAGCGGTCGGCCGACATCTTTCACGACCATTGATAGGCACTGTACATTTTTTTGATAAATACCAGTACAGAGACTTAGTTATAATCACAATCTTAACTCTTTTATTTACTGCCTTTTTCTTCTTAATGGCAGGTTATGTTGCGAAATATAACTCGTATGAAATGCTGAGATATAGCGAAGGACCCGGATGGTGTGGTGGGGAAGTGCGCTGCTCCCCGGTGAGGACAACATCGCGTCTTCGTTCTCCACTGCATACACCTGTGGTCCGGAGTTTTGCAAATATCTCAGCATTTCATACCAGTGCAGATTTCTTTATTACTTAACACTTAGAGTACGACGCACATTTCAATGCGGCTATTGGATATATTTCACTCATAACTACTCGGCAATTTCTCCATGAGTTGATGTCAGCACATACCGTCCTGATAGTCTGCTTGAACAACAGCAGTCATCTTTTGCTGCACTCTTTGCTCCATAAATTTTTTTTCTGTGTATTGGCTTAGTAGTTTTATTGGTTTTTCAATATTACTACGTATTGTTCTTCTTCTATGTAACTCCCGCGTCCTTGGAATATGAAGTCTTCCGTCCGGTGGGGCAAACTCATCCATCATGATGTTGTTATTATTTGTTAGTCAGCTATACTACACACGTGGACTGCATTCTAGTATTTTTTCACATCAGTCTATTCCGTACGATAACCATGTTCCATCATTATAAGGGAATATCAACTTCTTGCTTGTCAAGTATTATTTTCACATGATCAAGACATGATGGTTGTTCGACAATTCCTGATTACTACCCCATAACTAAATTACGGAGAACTTGACATACTTGTACAAGAGATTTTTACCTGTTAGGGAAGTGTAAAATTTCCAAGACTTGTCTTAACATAAAGTTTCGCTTAGAAGTCAAGTGCCCCAAAAATTGAAAGTCGGTTCTTAAATTTTGAAAATTAAAAGCGAGAACCGCAGTCGCAAGCATCGACGAATGCTGTGAAGCATCACCTTGTACTGCTGGGCTCAATCTCTCCTGTTTTGGCAACTCAAGTTGCGAACAGCCACAAAGAAGGCACGCTTTGTAAGATCCACATAAATCATAACTACCTGTTCCAAGAATAAAAAGACTTCCACCGATTTGCAAAGAACTCTATGGCCTCATGATTTGAATCTTCATGAATAAACTACATGGCCAGTTACATCGAAGGTTGAAAGTCCGAATTACTTATGGACACGTTTGAACCGCCTCAGGTGTGGTGAGGAGGGAAAGTAGGATGTGCCTGATAGTAGTGGTTCCCAACGAAAAAAGAAGCAATCTCATTGCTTAACTTTCTTTTACTGCATATTCTTTTCTTATTTCATGGTATTATGTGAAACTTAACCATAATGATTCCTGGATATTCTGCTGGCACTTTACGTCGTTTTCAAAACCGGAAATCTCAGTTAGGTTTCGAACCTGCGATTACCTTTCCAGCGCTCATTTGTTACCCAATGCACCACCGAAGCCCTTGCTTTGTTTTCCTCCCAGCCAGTTTTTACCCTAATGGTGCTATCAAACTGAGAGAAAGACATAGCAAAGGCGTCGGCGGTGCAGTGGGTAAAACATGATCTCCGGGAAGAGTATAGCAGTTGCTAGTGGAAAGAAGGTCTTCGAGCCAGTTTTCGGCACCTTATGGTCACTAGCTTTGAGTAGGATGCTCGACTTTGTAGTGCCACGCGAAACTTTTTCGTACTTGTCGCAGAGCAATATCTCAAACCTGGGTAATCAAACCGTTTATAACAATAATATTTCAAGAATGACGAAATATAAACATTGGTACAATACAGGCTGCAATATTATATCATGATCAATAAATGAGGGTAATACGGCTTAATATCTTTGCTACAGGCCAGTAAAACAGTGCCATGTGCATTCAGAATACCTCAAGAGTGTCATAAGATCTAGGCGCATTAAGAGATTTATATAAGGCCGTAATACCTGACCCACAAACAACAACACTAAAGAGTTACACACTACATGCAGGCTTGTGAAGTGGTTCTGATGAGGTTAACACGTTAAGAGCGCCATGTAAGCTTGTTGTAACATTGCGATGAGGTTATGTGTTAACTTGTAGGTAAAATGGGATTAGGTTAACGTTTTAAAGAATACATTTAAACGTATGAGTATACTGCCATCAGGTTAATGTGAACACACAAAAGAGTTAGCGTGTTCAGAGGTATATGACAGCAAAGTTAATATACAACGGTGACCACATACAACAAGAGAGAACACCTTGAATTAACCACAAGGCGCATTACACATGATGAACAGGGAGACGAATACGGTACTGACGCACGGGGCTATTTAAATATCTTCTGGAGGAGGCGGTGCTTTGGCACAGATCTAAAGTTTTTACCGAAAACACTCGTTGACTTCCACATCCAGCACATCCCTTGTGATTAGATCAGATAACTGAGGGCGATTTCCAAGACAACTTCATGCCCTTTGTGTTATCTTACCCGTGATGCTTTGGAACAGATGAAACAGACAAAAGGTTCCGATTGTATAGAAAGTGTGGATCACAAAGGATGTTCACGACAACCAAAGTTTCTCTCAACGAAGTGAAGACGTTTACATGCTGCAAGATCGCAAAGTGATGTGAGAAGTCACGAATACGGTTACCACAGACCTACGATATAATGAAAGAATAGTAACTATTCTGGCAATAATTGCTATAAAGGGCAGTGGTGGGTTCGAAGCTGGTTAGCGTTCAAGTTTTGCAGAAATTTTGGCATCTGTAAAAACCGGCAACCTCTATACCCTGGGTATAAATAGTCAATATCTTCGTGGGTTATTAAAGTAAGACCCTTCATTTTAATTGCATTCGACTCGGTGCGACAGAGAGCATCAAAATAGCGAGGGCGACCAATTGTGGATCATCGGCTCGGATCAGTTCGGCTCTGAAGAAGACGAAGACGTCGATAACTCATCATCATTGTGATTACATTTCACACAATACTCTACACCATGAAAAAATAATAGGCACTAAATAAAAACTTGGGTAAAGAACTAATCATTTTAAAAGTTAGCACCTCTATAAGGATGGGGATGTAGGATGCAGGACAGGATGTCAACTAATGGAATTAGAGCATCGGTTCTGTGATTGAGCAATATTATAGGAGACCAGCTCTGGCGTTATACGATAGGAAGATGTTGCTATCATTCTTTCTTTCGTTCGTCACTAGATGATATTACTATAGAAGTTTTGAAACAAAATACATTATGTGGAAGCATACTGATCAGCAACAAACACTTCTATAGACACTTTATAGTTTCGCGAAGCCTAATATGTAGCCGTAGTAAAATTACACGTATACAAGACTTTCCAATGCTTATCGCCCTGTTTTAGTTGACAGGTGTCCTCAAGTGCCGAATTTCAGCGTTGAAGAACAGCAACGACGTCATCATCCATTCTACAATTACATAAACTCGTCTGAAGCATGATTCGCGCAA